TTGAGAACTGTCCATCCACAATTGTGGGCCCAGTTTTTTCATAATGGAAGCCAAGAGGAAACGACCCATGTTGCGGGGTACGGGTCCAAATCCCTATTTGGAGAACTCGGCCTACTTCCTGGATCCAGGCGAAGTTCTTCTGCTCCGGCACCACCACGCTGCGGGCCCACGGCAGCTCGCCTCGCGAAAGCATCGCTTCAGTTGCTTCCCACTGTATCCCCGTGTTCGCTTGTCATGTTTAGGTCCTCCTTTGTTGGGCCCGTTCATTTTTAGTTGGGGGCGAGGTATATAGTGCAAACCACCCAAGATAGGAAAAGACAGTCTGAAGGGATCCTTCTGGAAAGAAACCGCAGGTTTTCGAGAAGGATGGCTGCACAGAATGGGGAGTCAGCCACCGGAAAGCAATAAGCGCGGGGCACACGGTCTCGTCGTCGCCTGGCCAGGCACAGAGGTACACTTGTTGAGACCCTGGAGCCAGGGCGCTAACACCTCGGCCAATGCGCCACGCAGGTTATTCAACTGTCACATGCGCTGTTTTTCAAGAAGAATGGCGCCCCACATGATCCCAATAGAAGACCTTTCATCTACACCACATCCCCATCCCAATAAACAAATATCTCGGAAAGCGTTCTCAAAAAATGGTGGAAGCGAAGCGGAACCGTTTTTGCTACACAAGGTCTCTGCACAGCATCCCTGGATCCCGCCCACCAACCAACCAACCAACCAATCCTGATCTTCCCGGCGCGACCTGCCACAGAACCGAAGACCTGGCCCCGGTCAGTGACCCGAAAGTTCACGCCAAAGACCTGGGCACATTGCCACCATGCCAGGCTCTTCCGTGCCATAATTTGCGATGGCCGAACATCCTCCTGCTTCGTGCCAAAACAGCACACGGGGCCCTGGCTCTGCTACCGCGGCGCTCCCCAGAGTCTCTGCGTTGGAACCTGAAAGGCGCTGGGCTTTCGCATCATGCCCCCCCCCCCCCCACCCCTAGCAAGGAGAGGTTACTGGAGAAGGGTTCTCCGAATTTCTCCGAAACTTCCTCATATTTCTCCCAAGAAACCGATGCCAGTTTTAAGGAGCAAAGCGGCCCCCGCCTGGGACAAACTTCTGCGTCCGGCTCAGAAAGCGGGGGGTCACGCCGCCACCTTGCCACCACCCAAGCCACAAGGCAGCGATGCATCGATGCGGCGCACGCCTCTCCGGTGATGACGTCCACAGCGGCTGGGGCGTGTTCAAGCGCGAGGTCTTGCGATTGAGACGCTGGCGGCAATACAGCCACTCCTGCAAGGTTCACCTGCCTAACCTCGCGCTCTGCTCCAATGCCTGTGTGGCTCTAACATCTGGCATGCCATGACTGGCCATTCAAAGTTGAATGGCAGGAGGTGAGGTCGACGTGTGCACTTTGACTTGAATAAGCCTGCAACAAAATCTCCCCATTTCAATCCACGAGTTGCCTAGAGGTAAAGGAATCCTCCTCAACGACCCTCGACCTTCTGAGCAGTGCTGGCCTTTGAGCTGACGCAACCACAGCCCCTCGCGTCCTCCAATGTGATAAACTGGGGCAGCGTCTTCTCCATACCTCGCACCAAGGGGCGGTTCCTTGGCCTTCCATGCGGGCTGGATCCTAAGTTCCTGCAAGACCATTTTCCTCTTAGGACCCTGGGTGCTCCCTTGTCTCTGAGGAAGCGGCACTCCATCACGGCCGGCTGCACCGAGATCTCTTCCAGGCTAGGGCTCTCCTGCAACAGCGAACTTTGGGCCAACTTTGCACCGCCCGCTGCATATGCTGCACTGCAGCTGCATCAGAATATGTGCCATTGTGGAGCTGCTTGCTAGGCAAAGTCTCCTTGCTCCTTCTCCCTCCCAGGAACTCAATGATGGCATCTCGGAGCTCCATCTGCGGCACGTGACTACCGCTGTCAACACGAGAGCAAAGCGCGGCACTGATCTTGCCGATTCCCGTGGATTGTTCAACATGGGGTCCCGAATCCCAAATCCTAATCTGCGATTGTTAGAGCCCCAGCTTTCACCAAAGGACAATCGTGCGCGTAGCAGCATGATGCCCATTTATTCGGACTCATGCAGGGTCACCTAAATAAGAGTTAAGGATGGATTGTTAACAGCCCAGCACCTTACAGGGTCAATTTTGAGAGGCTGCGCCCCGCCTCATTGGGCGTCAGTTTGTCTTCGGGCAAGCTGGCAAGAAAGGCCTCCTTGGCACGGCAGTGTCCTCGCAAAACTTCATATCCCGCAAGGATGACAACTGTCAGCTAGAAGGACAGCAATTCCAGGACGAGTTTGCACAAGATATAAGCCATGCTTGTACAGGCTATCACTGCGTTCGTCCGTCCTTCGTGGTGACCAGGCCACCATTTCAGCCAACTCCGACGAGTTCGCTCAGGACTGGTAGCCCCACCTGGGAGGGCTTCTGTTGAGTCAGCCCGTTACACTCAAAAGGCCTGGGCTGCTCGGGGTCAAGGGCTTCAATGGCCCGGGTGGCGGTATCTGCGTCCAGCAACCATCCGTCCTAGGGATTGGATATCTTCAAGTCGAATCAAACGGATCTCAATGAAAGCTGTCCTGAGCTTCTGAATCAGGAGCTCTCTGGAAAGCCCAGCCTCGTCTGCCTGCTGCTGGTCATTGTCAAATTCCAAGCAGCTTCCGGGACAAAGAGCCCAAAGGCCCAAAGTGATGCCTGCCTGGCCGTGCTTCTTACCTGCGCAACGAGCTCCCTTGGGCTCAACGAGGCGATTACGTGGAACATGCGAAAGTCAAGCTTCTCAACTTCCCGCGCCTTTCTTCTTCTTTTGAGGAACCAGCGGCACACCTCAACTGCTATGCTTGATATGCTTCTTGCACAGCTGTCGATCTGAAGGCCTAAGGTCCGGACCCAGGACCAAAGACTGCTGTTTCAGATCAGCAACGCTTTCGAGCGCCTCCGACGCTGCTTGAACACGCAAAGGTGGAGCTTCACAAGTTCTCTATGAATCATTTTGCAGTAATATCTAGTACTAAGACGAAGACTACGCGTCGAGAATCCATTTGTCGACCAAGTTCTCTATTAATTTCCTCAGTGCTGCCTTGGCCTTTTGGTCTCAGGCGCCGACGGAGGCGGCTTGCTCGCTGGTGCGGGGGCTCCTGCTCCTAGGCAGAAGTGGTGGTGAGAGAGTGCTTGGACACCCCGCCAAAAAACAAAAAAATACGAGGTGTTCAGACGGATATCCTTAGGACATGGGCCTTTTCTGTGAGCTTCTGCAAAGGAAGCGACCCTTGAGAAAATGAAAGGAACCGACCGAGCTGATCGGACGGTGGCGCAGTGGCGTCGCCTCTTGATAGACTCCACGGCACTAGGGATGATGTGCGAGGCGCGGTCCAGGGTTGCATGCAAGCGCTCCTGGCAGAACTGCCGCTTTGGCCCTTCAAAGTCACAGAAATGGCCCAAGGCTCAACTGCTCCAAACCCTCGCCTAATGTTCCGTTCTGTGTTGTTCTTAAACCAACCTAAAAGGAGCCCAAAGCCATTCTGGACCTCAGCCCGGCTCCTCTAAGACTGCATTGCCGGCCGAGAAGGAGACGCGGCGTTCCTGTGCTGTTTCGCAGTATGGGCAGCGCTGTGCACACATCAGCCGGAAGTTTCAAGGGGGTTGGGAATGAACTGTTTGAAGTTTGAAGGCATTCTTCATTGGTGTAATTCCCTCGTTCTTTGCTCAGGGACCAGCAATCAAATGGGTTTTTGTTTCCATACCAAGGGAATCCAACAGCACTCTTACAGTGACATACCCTCCCGCCAATTAACACGGAAGCTGACAGGGGGGTCTTGGAAGACGGGATCCCCTGTTAGGTTCCATAGTAATTGGTGGGAGGGAAAATGAAAGGTAAAATCATCACAACGCATGTCCGGGCTAAGTCCCTCCGCATTTCCCACACCCACACGTGGCTATTTTTGAGTGGTCCTGGCCCGCCGGCCGCCCAGCCGATTCAATCATCGCCTAGCCATCCCGGCAAGTTCCGAGTGCCCGCTAAAGCGACATCCTCACAACAAATTGAGAAACCCCCCAACAAAAAGCAAGTTATGTAAAGGACCTAGCAGGACCAGCTCAAGGACACCAAACGCGGCAACGCGCGTCTGAAGCCTCCAGGTCGTGAATGTCCTGCAAAAGCTGCTCAACATCCTGCGGGGGCGCCAAAATGGTAGCTTCCGTTGGCATGAAGAAAAAGAGCGTGCTTTTCTAAGTTCAGGACAACAGCAAGGAGCCTGCTGCAAACACAAAAACCAGCTCCTTCATGGTGCCTGCTAGGGTCACCTTCTCCAGAGCGACTTTTGCATCTTCCAGGGACTGGTTGAAGGCGGACCTGCCAGGACAAAGGCTGGCGCACACCTTGGCGCCTTGCGGTCAGTTGGACTTTCCGAGGCGTTCGTTCTCCCTTTCAAGAACAAACTCTTTTCCTTTGAGGCTCCATGTGCTGGGAATTTGGATGATGGCACTGCAATGGACCCTTCCCTTGGACGTATTAGAACGCAGAGATGGCATCCAAACGTCTCGCGCCTCACCCTCACTGCCTGCCAAGCCATATTCATGCTGCACTCATGCTCATGCCTTGTGCCCAGGCATCCGGTGCAACATGAAGCTACCCACTTTGGCCTGTGCCACTAGCCAATCTGCCGGAATGCGCTCAACTTCAAGCCGTGCCTCTGCAGACTCCTCCTGCCAGGACGCGCCATGCAACTGCTTTGGACAAAATATGGTCACTCAATTATTCACGGCCGATTAAATTGTTGAGTGGTTTGCACGAATGTCACTTTGCAGCTGCTGGATAGGGTGCGTGTGGCGCGCCTGCATTTCATGGTCAGTATCAACCTTGCGGAGGCCGGCTGTATGTACATTTGGCTCGTCTGGCAACATGCCGCCCAAGAAGCTCACAAAATCGTAAGTGCATGGAGTAAGCATGCAAGCCTAATACGCTTAACACGAGCCCATAAGGCCCACACCTCACTCTCACAGAGGACACGTTCAGGCGTTCCGTCACCAGCCTGCACAGTCTCTCAGACTGCACCGCCCGTACCATCAAGGAAGGTGAGTGCCCTGGCTTGCTTGCCTCCTAGCTGGTTCTGACTGCAACTCGGTAGCAGGCTACTCCGCCACCTCTCGCAGTTTGCGCCCAATCCGGCAACGTAATAGGTCCGGCGACCAAATAGCCATAGCCGTCAGCTCACAGGCTGCACAAATCTACATGGTCAATCTGAAGTCAATCCCAAATGCAATTCCATGCAAATCAACCCTGCTCCTGCTTTCTGCTGCCTTGTGGTGCTCACGTTCGCCCAACTTGTGCTGGAATTCGCAAACGCAAGCAACTTGCACATCAACACACGTCGCCGCTCTATGGGATGCTCTTGGCGTACCAGCATCCGCTGGACCAACACGCGTAAAAGTATGGCCAATCCATGTGATCAGCACCAATGCCCCTCGGATTGGGTCGGCCGCAAATGCAAATCATTGTGCAGGGCCAGTGTTTTGGGACTTTGGAGGACTGAGCTCCGCCTACGGCTCCGGCAGCCCAACTTGCAAACTCGGCTGCGGAAAGTGAACCCTGAAAGCTCTAAACCTAAGCCCTAAAAGCTCCTAAAGTAGTGTGTCGAGCTACCAGCTTGCTGGTGCACTTGCAACCGTTGGGCTAGCCAACACATGAACCACACAATGACAACTTGCTACACCTTGCAACGGCATGGAAGGATACGACAAGCGACAAGTGATATCAACTGATGACAAGTGATGACAGTGATCGCAAGTCAACAAACATTCGGATCAGGGGCAAACGTCGGATTGAGGTCTAGCACGCCAGCCACGCAAGCGTGTGCAGCGGGCCCAACCAGGCCAACAGGCAACTTGATCTACATTGAAATTTGAAAACGACGGCCAACATTGCCTCAGTCATGGCGCCTGGCCTGCAAAGGAGCGCCGGGTGGCAGCAGCAGGCTGGGCCTGCGCAGGCTGGGCCTGCGCTGGCTGGGCCGGCGGTCCTTGGCCAAGATGCCTTAGCAATAGGCTCAATGATGGGAATGATGGGTTGGGACGGAGTGAGGTTTTGCAGGCTCCCGCAACTTGTGCGTTCGGGCAAGAATCCGGTAAATTCGGTGGATTCGTGTTCCTTGATTGGGTTGAGGCGATCAGCCTCAGAAGCCCCATGCGGTCACTGGCAATCGTTGACACTGTTGCAGCTCCGGCTCGAACATCGCAACTCGTCAGTAAAAGCGTGACATGCGAAATGCAGGTTGGCAGCTCCAGCTCCAAGATCGCAACTAGGAAACTAGCCCCAGATGGAAACACTTGCTTAAAGAATATAGCACGCAACTCTTTCGTATATGTTCATTTTCCGAAAGCATGGCGAAGGATGTTTCCGTTGGATTCATGGGAGTTATTGTATCGAGTCATGTATCGAGTCATGTATCGAGTTTTCACAGAGTCAGTGCACAGAGTCATGCACAGAGCACAGAGTCAGCATGAGAGCCATTGCGCAGAGTCATCACACAAGAGTCAGTGCACAGAGTCATTGCAAAGAGAGTCATTGCACAGAGTCAGTATGAGAGTCATGGGAGTCAGTTGACAGAGTCATTTTTAGAGTCATTGCACAGGAGTCATGAGAGCACGCACAGAGTTATCAAAGAGTCGTTGCACAAAGAGTCAGAGCCATTGCACCGAGACATCATGAGAGTCATTTCACAGTGTCATTGCACAGAGATATTGCACACAGTCATCATAAGAGTCAGAGTCATTGCGCTCAGTCGTCACGAGGGCTACTTGCGAGGAGCAATGCTCATGAGAGCCACTGGCGAGGAGCAATGCTCATGAGAGTCGCTTGCGAGGATTGAAATTCTCTTCTTAGGGCGGCGGGGTAGGGCTGACAGCACTCTACGAAAACCGACCCTCTGCGGAGATCCGCGCGGTCGATGCTAAACAACTGGGGACTTTTGTTTCGTGTGCTCGGGATCGGCGTGGTTGACGTGCAAAAACTAGAGGTTTCTTGCGACTTCTGCGGTTCCCACGCGACCCTCTGCGGGGATCGATGTGGTCGATGCTCGCGCGCCTTTCTGCGGAGATCATGCGTGTCGCTGTGGTGCCGCGCGAGGTTTCTGGCTCTGGCTGCTTGCGACTTGGTCTTTGGAAGTTGTCTCGTGGTTTGCGCAGCTGCTCTCGGAGCGCATTCCCGCAGCTCCGGCTCAAAAATTGCAACTCTCAAGTACACAAGCAGTACGCAAAGCACATCCCCGCAGCTCCGGCACTTGCAATTTGCGCAGAGCACTTCCGCAGAGCAACTTGCACGGAGCAACTTGCACAAAGCGCTTGCACAGGCCAACTTGCGCAGGCATTTTGCACAGGCCACTTGGGCGCTGCAACTTGCACAGAGAGATCATGAGAGTCATTGCACAGAGTCATCATGAGCAGAGTCATCATGAGACTCTGCGGCACGAAGATCAATCCGGACACTGGCAAGCGCAAGCGAGCGGACACCTTTGTGAGCCCGACAGCGCGGCCCGCGTGTTGGCAACAGCGCACATTGCAGACTGGAGCGGCCAAGTGGAGAACGTCTTGATTGGCGGCGCGCACTTGGCGGTCCTGGCCAAGGTAGATGACGAGCAGCAGGTCGCAAAGCTGATCCAAGAGAAGGGCACGCAGGCGCTCTGCTTCAAAGGTCCCTTTGATGTTCAACTTGCTACGGCCCCTCACATGACTCAAGGACGGAGAGCCATCGACGACGGCAACTCAAATCGACGCGCAGGCTCTGATTGCGACCCAGCAGGAGCAAGGCTTGCCCGCACGGACGAGCCGGACATCAGCGAAGTGGACATCCAAGGAGAAAAAGCTGCCACCTCTTCAACATGGCCGATGGCGCTCCTCGCGCGTTGGTCGGCCGTGTGCTGCAGGATTGCGACACCGACATTATGATCTTGCATGTGGAGTGGATGGCGCAGGCGCCTGCAGATGTGGCTCGGACTTTCACGGAAGAGAAGGACATGGTCTGGGGCCTGCTCCATGCTAAGCCGGAGATCGCGAGCAACAAGCGAGTGGTAGAGGAAACGCCCTAGCGCTCCTCTTGGCTGTGTCTAGCTGAGAGGCTGCGCTGCCCGGAGAGACGCTGTCTCCAAGAGTTGGCTGGAAATGTAGCAGCGCTGCCCGGACGGACGCTGTCGGGCCCGAACTCTGAGGCCTGCCGATTGCTTTTCGCCACTGCGAGACTTTAGCGGAGATAGTTAGAAGCATCCACACGCAGAAACAAGGTGCACACACCATGCTTGAGCAAGAAACCATCAGCACCACTCCTGCGTATGCAGCCACACACACGCAGACTTTGTCAGTGCAGAGATGGCAGTCGCGTGCTGGCGAAATCGTGCAAGAAACCATCAGCACCAGACTACACACTACCCATGCTTGCGTTGGCATGCTGAGTGATTCGAACACGACACCATCAGCACCACTCCTGCGTGAACAACCGCCACACACGTGCTTGTATTGGCATGATGAATGCTTGGAGAAAAAGGGCGCCTTACGAATACAGTCATGTACATTCCACGGATTCAACATGACACCATCAGCACCACTCCTGCGTATGCAGCCACTGACACAGCCCCGGGTGACCAGCAAGTACTCATTCCTGATGTCGGTCTTGCCGCGCTGCACGTTTCGAGCATGACGCTACTACTTGCACCACCCCTGCGTGAGCAGCCAGCGCGCATTCTTCCTGCTCTTCCCGTAAACATTCTGCGCGGTTCGCAGCGAAAAACATGCGCGGGGATGGTCGCCGGGTTGTGGCGCTTTCGGGCCAACCGTGGTCTAGTTTTCAGAATGGTGGAATTCCACAAATCACCGCTCGAAATCACAAGTCTTCCGCACTGGTTATCAAACATCGTTGTTTTTGTGCCTCCCTGCTTTTTTTGCAGGGATCTGGGGCCCGTCCTGCCTGAACTGGAATGGAAGGTTATGCGACAATCCTGGCTAAGCATGTGGCTGACCAGCGGCAGCAGCACGTTCTCCTCGAGCTTCGCATGCCTCCCATGTCACAGAGAGTACCAGGCTGACTTTGAGTCACCAAGTGACTCAAGACAGCTTGATTTGGCTGGAAGTGTTTCACAGAAAAGGCCACCGCAGGTCCGGGCACAAGGCATGCACTGGTCATGCAATTTGCTTGCGAAGACTCAGACTCCTGATGGACTTGCTCAAGGACATCGCCGCTTTCTGGAAAAGCGCCTGACATTGGGAGACGAGGCCTTCAAACGCCCCAAAGCCAGGGTGGTGCCGGGCATTCCGATCTGCTGTAGGTTGAGATCGGACGAAAGCCATGATCTTTAGACTCTTTTTGGGGTATGTTCAAATCTTCGGGGCGATGTTCAAGCCTCGGGCCACACGAAAGCCCCCAACGACCCGTTGGGCACCAAACGCGGCCACGGTGCTGGGGCGGTGCGCTTCTCATCGTCCGCTCTCTTGCTCTCTCCTGCCGGACCCAGTGAAAAACGGCGTGTATTGTGGCTGTGTGGTGGTTTTTGAACCCTTGGAGGCAGCGGCTTGGGGGCAGTGGAAACCGCCTTAGACAGGGTGAAGGTGCTCTGGCAGGCGAAACGCTCTTCCCACCCCCAATGGCTGTAGTAGTGGAGGGCCACGCCTACAAATAAATTTGTTTCATACATACACCCCACCCTACAACGTTTTTCATCTTCCATCTTCTATCCTTATTCGTTATCATCATTTTTCTACATTCCTTTCTGTCCATCTCATCCGTTTTATTCTCATCATTTTTCCATTTTTTTTCGCCATCCTTTCTCCTTCCTCCTCGCCTCATTCATTTCACC